ACACAGAGTAAAAGTCCGCTTAGAATGCCCTATATGGCCCTGTATGAGCACTTCTCAGACTTTAGCATGCATGTGAATCACCTGGGAATCTTGTTAGAATGAGATTTCCATCCAGAAGGGTGCAGGTGGGGCCTAGGAGTCTGCATTTCTAACAAGCTCTCAGGTGATGCTGATGCTGCAAGTTCACAGGACTAGCTGCGAGTAACAAGACCGTATATGATATGTTTCCTCCCTACCATCTGGCCCTCTACCTCTCTGACATTGCTGCACTCCTGATATTACCCTTTATTTCTAGAGCTACCCTAGCCCCCTTCATAGTCTTAGAACATCCAGGCATGTTCCCACCTCAGGGCCTTTGCACTAGCTGACCCTCTGCCTGGAAACACTTCACCCAGATATACACCTCTCTCTCCAAAGCTTCTTAGTGAAGCTTTCCCTGGCCATCTTATCTAACAAGGCACATCATCTCCATTTCCACGTCCCTCTTCTTTTCTCTCCAACTCTGTTTTACTCCTTAACTCTTCTCACTGCTGAAATACAGCATATTTATCTTATTTATTGTCTGCCCCCTCCACTAGAATGTAAACTCCATGAGGCATTTTTTTTTTCATTTATGTTCACTCCAGTGATCAAAACACTGGCTGTTTTGATCAATAAATAATTGTTGAGTGAATTCATTAAAGAACTCAGTTATATTTTTCAAATCACATTTTTTCCTACTTATGCAAAACATCCTAGGAAGAGGAAGGCAGAAACAAAATTTTCTTCTAGTTTAATTAGGCTAGTGTGGTACAGGCAAAGTGTCTCCCAAGAAGAGCAGATCAGAACTCATTTACCTACTCCTCACTTATACAGGTTTCTTTGGTATGAGCAGAACATCGATGTTAGAAGCAACCAGGATCTACCTTCAAGTAAGAGAAACTTAATGAGGCTGGCAGCACAATTAGAAACAAGCACAACCTGAGGGATTAATGGGATCTATTCAAAGTTACACCTAGATTGGGAGGATTGTTTTCACAGGGATGCAGTCTTTGCTGAAAGGGAGTTACTATATATATGAATTCCTGTCAAAGGTGGAAGCTTGGTCTTTTGCGGAATATTGACCTAGAAGACCTCTGAGGTCTTTTCTCCCTGCACAAATTAGAAATCAGTGACAGAGAACAGGAAGCTGCTGTGTGAGATGTGTGTGCAAGACCGGTTACTTGAGGAAGAGTCCATCAGCCACATTCCATGTCTTGTAGTTCTCAATCTCATGAACTCCAGTGAGCTTTAGCAGGTGAGAGGTTATTGTTTGTTGGTTGGTTGGTTTTGTGTTTTAATGAAAGCTGGCTAAGACCTTGAAAACTGAACCAAAATACATTTTATTATAACTACCTAGTCTCTGTCTAATCAGTGTTCAGCTCTCTCTGATATTGGTTGAAAGAAATATGTACAATCAGCAAATTTCACTTTGATATTTTCCATTATAAATTAATAAAAACATTCTTCACTACTCCTCTAGTAAATCCGAAAACTGAGTACATGGGGTGTAATAAACACTTGGGGACGTGATTTGCAGTTTTAAAATCATAAGCCCTCTTTATCAGCAGACTATCAGGGAATAGAAACTGCTCTCTACTTCTTTTACTGCATTATCTTTTTTATTATGTCATAATTTTAGGTTAACCTTAGGAAATACCAAATAGTAATTCTTTGTAATAACAAATCACTCACACATACATTCTTTCATATAAACTTCAGGATCATCTTAAGAGTTTATTATTCTAATCGAACTATTTATTGATGCTTTTACATATATATATCTAATAATGACAAAAACCGTAAGAGGTAGAAATTCTCAATATGATGATAAAAATTCTGAGCCTCAGAGATTTTAAGTAACTAGTCACATTTACATATTTTACTTAAAAAAATGAACTGGATATACACCTAGGTTGTATGTCTACAAAGCCCAGGCTTTTAATTCTCACACTGTGATAATTCTACAGCTGAGTAGAGTGAGTCTTAGAGAAACCAAGTGATCTGCCCAACGTTACACAGCTGAGAACTGGAAGAACCAAGAAAGAAAACTAGATAGTTTTTTTCTAAAACTAGAGCTCTTTCTACTCTTCATAATAGCTTTTTTTTTTTTAATGTATGACATTTAACAACAGCATAAGAAACACTAGCCCAACTTGAAAGGTGATGGAATGGCTACATATTTAAATAAAAAGAAACGTGAAAGCCTAAAGAGTAACTAAATTTCTCAGCATATGCTGCAAGACTGTCAATAGCTGAGTCTAAAACAATTTTATTTCATAGAATCTCAGGAATTTTCTCAGTGTGAATATTTACAGTTTATTTTTACATTTACACATGTGTCAAATTAAATTCCATATGGTCAAATAACTTAAATTTAAACAAAAACCCAGAAAATGTAGGAAACTGTATGTACATACTTAAAAGTTAAGAGGTTTTCTTAAAGAACACTGAAGACCTTAGAAGATATATATGTATATCTTACATACATGACTGCTTAAAGCTTCTATGTAGCAACTGATGTCCTATGTCTCTATGATTTATATATTATATTGAAAATGCCATGATGTAGGAAGTGTAACCAGTTTGTATTAATACCAGGAATGAAGGGTAATGGTGTGTGTGTGTGCGTGTGTGTGCGTGTGCGTGTATGTGTGTAAGAACACGGGAATAAAACGAGGTCTTATTTACTTGACTGGCTACTTCAGAAAGTTACAAGTTTCCTATGGTCTCACTATTTCTATTCTTTGCATACTCTTACCCAATTCCCATATATCAGTTACAGTGACCTTGACAGAGAAAAATGAATCATGACATTTCCCTATTTCAGTAGCATTTTTTGCCATTCAAATAAAATCCAAGTTCTTAACAATGGGTAAGGTCCACTTGATCTATCCCCTGCATACTAACTTCATTCCACATTTTCTCATTCGATCGTCTCCAGTTCATGCTGATTTTAAATTGGTTTCTTGAATGGACCTTCAGACCTTAGCTTACACTAAGCATTGCCTGGATGCTTTGTCACCCTCTCTTCTACATGATCAGGCAGATCATAGATAATATCCTACGTCCTCTGGGAACTTACCTGATCACTGTTTCTCAAATAGATTTCCTTCTTAATTTCTACAATAGCACCTTATTTGTCTTTTTGATAGCATTTGTCACAATTTAAGTCATTTTGTTTGATCATGTATTTTAGTTTCCTTTTCTCTCTCTCCCACCAGACCCTGTATTTCATGAATCCAGTGGTCATTCCTCTGTGGTTGAGTTTACCTCCAGTTCCTACCTCAGTGCCTGGTACATAATTGTTACTTAGCAAATATTGGATGAATGAATGAATAAATAATGAATTGGTGAATATGTATGTTTAAAAGTTATTTTTATTCTGAATCTGTATGTCTGGAGAAAAGAAAATGAATTTTCTCTGGAATGCTATGGTATAGAAAAAAGTTGTAAAGTGTGAGGAGCTTTGGATCTAAAATGGATAGAAATACAAATTGTGAACTTCAATTTATACTTATACGCAAGAACTCAAAATTGTTTTTAACAGTAGACAATATGAAGGAAAATAACTCTTCCCCAAACCATTATTCTGAGGCTTAAATTCATTCACATACAATGAGTACCTAGTAAATCCTAAAATCTATCCTCCCTTCTCCCCCAGACAACATATAGTATAGGTCCATTCACCTGCCCAATCTCACCTGCCCCCCACTGCATGCCCCCAGTAATTGGAGGGTACTGTGTTTAATTTCTAAAAGCCAATGGGCCTCTGGACAAAGACAAGAGGATAAATACCTGGGCCCTGGGAAACTGGGATTAATATAATAAGGATGAAGGAATTAGAGGCCATTGCTAACATTTCAAGGACATTCTCTTATTTTAAAAGCATCATTAGTACTTGCAAAGAGGTTTATGTCACCATTGTCAGTTTTAAAATAATGATATCAATGTAGTGACTGACAAATTACCAGGGTGATGCTAGGGAACCATCACAATAGCAATAGCAGATAAAGGAAAACATATGAAAAGCACAGAATAATGCTAGATCCTGTGGCAGAATAACTTTTATAGTCATCAAAACATTCTCCAACATGGTATTATTGAGTTTGCCTTTTGAACAGAGAACTCAGACTTGGAGTCCAAATTATTCTGCTGTGAAAGGTTACAGAAAAAAAGTATATACCATCATTGATGCTGTTATTAGACATTCATTCAGTCATCCCATAATTACTTATTGAATGTCAACCCTTAGGATTTTCACTGTAATAGCCACTGGGATAATTTTAAGCAAAAATCATTCAGTTCTCTCATGGTGGTTGATGGGGTCTGAGGAAGAAAGAATTACTTCTGTGTAGAAGTTTATAAACCACGGCCCAGAATAAAAACTAGCTTCATGTTTTTTACACAAAGGACTGCTTTCTAAGTTTTTTTTAAATAACTTCTAAATGATGGTTTTATAAAAATAAGATATAAATAAAGATTTTCACTTTTGGAAACAGAAACAGACTTTTGTAGAAACTTCATTTGTGGAGAAGATTAACTTTTACTCACAGAGAGCTTCACATAATCATAACATAAACTTTTCATCGAAAAACAAATGCAGTGTAGAAAATACCCTGAATCATTTGAAAAAACTGGATAACCTGAATGATATTTGGAATGGGATTTGTCAAAATCTTTTCAAGTCCTCATGTGTATATGTCCCCGACACTGTTCTGAACAAAATAGCAGTTCATGTTTTCTAGCTTTGGAATTCCACTGGAAAAGGATCCTTTAGACACACCACAGAAATGTGTCAATTCCCTCTACTGGTACAGCGAGTTACCTCAAAATCTTCTTAAATCAATAAAAGGTATAATTTAACTGAGAACTCTATGTCAAAGTTAAAATTTAAAAAAGGAAGTAAACCAGACTCAGTTTAGCAATTCCAATATGGGGGACAGAATGGTAGACTATGAATGAAGAACTATGGCCAGTACCTTTTGAATGCCTGCTTGGGACTCCAGAACGTTATTCTCTGATCCATTGCTTCGGTTGATCATCCGCCACATTTGGGAATACATGCTGTCCCTCTCAAAAGGATTCATTCCCTTCATGCGAACATGTTCATATACCGCAGAGTCCAGGACTGTGCCATAAGGGATATCTGTTTGCTTGGAAAGGTCCTGGAGAGACCTTGATTATTGGGAGAGCAGAGAGACACAAGAAAGAGTACTGAATATTTTCAAGTGGAAATAAAGTTAAAAGAAGCAAAAAGTAATATATGTAAATACAAACGTCAAATTGCTTTTCTTATTTTGTTGTTTCTTAACATTAAGATGTAATATATAAGGAGAATTGTTTTAAGAGTGTATGGCTCTTACATAGATCATGAGAAGACAAAAATCATTACTGAAGGAAAGGTGGAAATTTCTAGTGATAGGGCAATGCTATTTTTGTTTTCACTGTGAAAAAACATCTAGCAATTCCAAAGACAAATTAAATTACATTGCTAGATAGTCATATAATCATTTAGTTTTTTTAAAATGTCAATATGTTACAGGCCTTAAGCCTATGTTCTTTTAGGTGGCAAGGTTTAAATATTTTTATAAAATAATTACGTTTTGTATAAACAACATATTTAAGTAGATGTATACTTAAAAATTAGTATTTGTAAGAGTCATTACTTATTGAGTGGCTACTACATACATGCTAGGCAGTTGGCACACAGTATCCTTACAGCAATGCCTCATGCTCAGAACTATTTCACCCATTTTGTAGGTAAGAAAACTTCAGTAGAGGGAATAAAGGACTAGCTCAGTGTGGCACAGTCAGTGAGGGATAGAGATAGAATTCAAATGTAGATCTGACCAGCTCCCAAAACCATATTATTTCTACTGCAAGATGCTGACTCTTCTCTGTATTTATTTTGCTAGATTTGCTTTAAGTGGTTGTGTGTGAGTGTGTGTGTGTGTGTGTGTGTGTGTGTGTGTGTGTGTGTGAGAGAGAGAGAGAGAGAGAGAAAGAGAGAGAGAGAGACAGAGAGAGAGATTTCTATTTGTATTCAAATAGAATAAATTTCATGCTTTTGGATAGCTGAATATGTTTTCAGCTTTCTCTTTTACAGAATAATGCTCCAGGATTTCCAAATCAATCTTTGAGTTACAGATTGTATCTACTTGTCCCAGGTTATTCGTCTCTAAATTGATGGTCGATTTCCTTATATTTGAGTTTCTGAGCCACTCCATATTTTCTAACTTGGAGAACCAATTACCACTTCACTGGAACTCATTGAATTTGTGTAGGTGTCCAACCCTAATGACTGACATTTAAGAACAAATATGTGCCTTTGGAATACTGTTCAAAATTAGATGCTGGCACGCTTCAAACTCACTAACCTCTGAGAATGGGAGCAGATGCTTTGAAGCACTATAGTATATATTGAACAAGAACAAATACCCACAGCCCTCCACAATCACAGGCTATGAATGTCATGTTACGTTTACCTCTGACCTTTTGGTCTGTTTCTAGATGGCGTTTGCTAATGATTTCCTGGGGGTCTCTGCAACTAACACTAACATTGGGCAAGAGTATTGGGAATACTCTTGCAGGTCACCGTTTCCATCATGTGCAAAACTGTGTGGCAAACAATACATTATGGGTAGTGTTTGTTAGAGGAATATTTGTGACAATTTCTAATGATAGCTTTCAGCAAAATTTAATCTGCATTTTATTGAGTTTTATGTTGCTGGTGTGTATCATGTACTCTAAGGAAAAGAGTGAGATCATGGTAATTCCTTTCTGCTCTACACTTCTACTGCATAAAATTATGCATTTAAAAATTACTATTTGAAGGGAAGAATTTTCTGGAATACCCTACAACTATTGAGCTAATTCTACCATTTGTAAAAGCTAAAGTGAAAGCATAAACAAATAGTGAGGGGAGCTTCCCTGGTTGGGCAGTGGTTAAGAATCCACCTGCCAATGCAGGGGACATGGGTTCAATCCCTGGTCCTAGAAGATCCCACATACCGTGGAGCAACTAAGCCCAGGCACCACAACTACTGAGCCTCTGCTCTAGAGCCCGCGAGCCACAACTGCTGAAGCCGGTGCTCCCAGAGCCCGTGCTCTGCAACAAGAGAAGCCACCGCAATGAGAAGCCTGCACACCGCAATGAAGAGTAGCCCCCGCTCACTGCAACTAGAGAAAGCCCGTGTGCAGCAACGAAGACCCAACACAGCCAAAAATAAATAAATAACAAAAATAAATAAATAAGTTAAAAAAAATAATGAGGGCAGAAGCAGGAATAAAAGGGAGCTACAGGTAGCTAGGGTGCAACCTAATACCAGAGTGGCAGGGCATTTGGTAGGAACATACCATAATTATCTTGGTAATAGTATAGCAATAAGAATTTTGTTTCAAACGAACAATTTACTTCTTATTTACTAATGTTTCCAGTAGTAGGAGTAAAACTATATTCAAAACATTAACATTTTAACATATTTCCCACTGTTTAGCAATGATCTAAACTGGTTACACAGGGGGAAGAAATGAAACTTATCAATACAGGTTACGATAGCATGCCTCATTCACTCAATATCTATAAATACAAGGGCAAGGTTAGGTAGATGTACAGAGCTTGCACTTTCTAGAACCTAAAGGTGTATGGCTAGAGAAGGTCATGTTAGGATTCATCAGAAACCCTCCCAGGATACGACTGGCTCCTTGCTGCCTAGTAGTTCTGGCAATCAATTTTGATTATAACTTTCAGAAGGTTTCCACTTGGTGAGATCATGGTGTAGGGGTGAAAAATGTTTATGCCTATATCTATGTATATAACTGGTTTGCTCAAATAGTCATACTAGTAAAATACTGCTAAATAAATTAATACTCCTTCTTAGCTTTCTGTGAAAAGAAAATTGAAATCATGTGTTGGGATCTTTAACATAATCAAGTTTCCGTGCCATAGTATCACCTTAAATATCAGCTTTGAACTTGAATGTAGAATTATAATACAAACAGGTTTTTAGCTGGCAAAACTGTTCTGTACACACAAAAATTTTTAAACAGTATCTTAAAATGTTGCCTGTGTGAAGTTCTGGATGTCAGAAAAAGCAGTTTATTTTCAACGTAATTCAAATTTAGAATAGCAGAGCATTTTGTAACTTAGAGCAAAGGTATGTTCCCTCTGGCTTCACTTCTGATATCAAGTTCAGCTTATAAATTTTCCATGAGATCTGCTTGCAATAAAAATTATAGTTTGTCTGATTCAGTGTTGTTCCTTTATAGTACACCAAGATAGCACACCAAAGGTGACAAAAATAAAATAAAGCAAAATGAAGTGAGCACAAATAGCTTATTATGGAAAAAAGAAAGCTGGTTTAGGAGCCCAACAGAGAAAGGGGGTACCTATTATAAGTAGTAATTTTGTTATTTTCACGCTCATAATATTTTAGATCTGCAGAAATGCTATGGCCTATATTATGAGGCCCTAAAAGAAATCAAGTACGTTATTCCGCAAGTCGTAATCCTCAAGAACATTATATCTTAAGGTCAACATCTGAGTGGGTATTATTTAGACGTGCCAATCATTGGCTTAAATGCAAAACAATTATAAAATAATCAACAAGCCCCTAATACATACATTAATTTACCTTGGCAAATATTGACATTTCCTTTTTTAACAATTGGCAATGTTTACCCAGGCCACAGAAGAAATGGGGAAATCTAGAGAATTCTAGAAAAAGAGTTAGCTGTGAATATACTCATACTAATATAGTCTATCTTTCTCCCTAACCACACAAAGCCTACATACACTCACATAAAATTCCGCAAATGATCAATTCTGTGAATCTGAGCCCTCCTCTTCCAACCCCACACTCGGACTCTTGCACATAGTAAAAATGCGTGTCCACAGCTACACATGGTGAATGCTAAAAGAAAGCAAATGCTTTCCCACTCTAATCAGTCTTATTTTCTCAACATCTTACTGAGAGTCTTTTATTTCTTGTACTGGTGTCCTATACGACTAGCGACCCATGGATACTAAACAATACTGTCTGATAGGTAAGTGGTATTTAACTATTTGCTTAAATATCACATATACTGAGAAACTGTAATTTAGGACACTTCTGTGGAAGTAAATTTTAGGAATTTGGGTGGATCTAGGCTGATTACAAACTCTTTCCATGAGAAGAATAAACACTTAAAGCCCTTCAAGTATTGGAAATTAATTTTAATACATGTGATAGTCTGATATTAGCTATATCTGATAGCAATAGCTTTGATATTGGGTAGGTTAGATTTTAAAGACAAGCAGGTCTGTTATTTGTGAGCTGTGTAATATTAGGTAGTAGCTCTTAACCTTACTTTCCTCATCTATAAATGGAGAGAGTAACAGGGTCCTCCTCAAAGTGTGATTAGTGATCCTGTCATATCAGTATTCAATCAAGCTATCGTTTTTATACAAAGATTATTATTATAATAATTCCTCACCTTATAATGCCCTTTTAATGATTTTTAATGGAGTGTGTGTGTGTGTGTGTGTGTGTGTGTGTGTGTGTGTGTGGCAGGATGACTTCTTATACTGTTAACGAGGAGATTCATGAATTGGAGTTGAATTAATGTCTCATCTCCTTTCCAAGTACAAGAATGTATGACTCTATGATACTAAACAGTAACTTTCTTCATAGCAAATTCTTTGGGACATTTATACGACTTTGCTAATGAAATTATCTTATAATGAATGTGTTGCTACTTACATTTCTAAAGCTGTCAACTAGTTAAAAATCTAATGCCTATACCCTCTGCAGTGAACTTTCACTCATATTTTTACCTGTTTTCCTTTATTAAGAGAATAGCTCTTACCTACATAAACTGTAAAATAACTCTCATAGGCCTTTCTTTTCCATCTACTCTCCATTTCTCTGTTTCTCTCTCTCTCTGCCTGCCTGCTTTCCTTCCTTCCTTCCTTCCTTGCTTCCTTCCTTCCTTCCTCCCTCTCTTTCTCTCTCCCTTTTTCTTCTCTTTTTTTCTTTCATATTTGAGTCTGGTTGTATGTTATGCTCACCAACAAATGACAAGAGTGAGCTGCCAGCTTTAGTTGTGGGGAATTTTACGTCTAATCCCATTTTTAACGGATTGAAACACGTCGACTCAAGTTATCACATCAGAAGGATTTTTCTTCAGGGGGAGAA